CATTATGCCCATGCACAGTCCCCAACTCACCAGCACTCTGAAACTCAAGAACAGATTCAGAATCGCATCAACACACCGACTTACGCAGCTTAGGACTCAGGTCTTCTCCCGATCCGATCACAGTCACGTTCGTGTCTGGAGAAAACACCACCAGCTTATCATGATCTGGCGCCGTCCACGGCTGCTCCCCATTGGCCGGCCCGAACCCGGGATGCATAATCGGCTGCAGAAACGACATCTTCGGCTGCTCCATCTTCTTCCAGCTCTTAGCTAAAAGCCCGCCCACTTGCTTGTTCGTTGGCCCCCACGTGAGCCACACCCACCCCGCACTCCTCGACCGGATATACCGCTGAAACTTCTCCAAATACTGCATCTCCTGGAAATCCGTGGACGTGTTTTCAACTGAGGGGAACCGGCTGCCCCACTGCGTGACTATAAGAGGGGTGAAGTTCTTCTGGGGGATGAAACCAAACGCAGTGTCCCAGTATCCCTCGAGGTTTTCTGGGAAGTTGGGGTCCTTGAACCAGGGCTTCTTGGGGTCCACAAATGGGCCGAAATCGTTGACTGCGTAGGCCAGCTTGTACTTGACCTGCGGGGGGGGGGGGGGGGGGGGGGGGAGGGGAGGGGAGAAGGGAGAGACAGAAAGGCAGAAAACAGTGACATGATGGTAAGTTGGGGACCTTGAACCAGGGCTTCTTGGGGTCCACGAATGGGCCGAAATCGTTGACTGCATAGGCTAGCTTGTACTTGACCTGCGGATGGGAAGGCAGACAGGGAGGGATACAGGCAAGGAGATAAAAGAGGAGGGGAAGTTGGGGTCCTTGAACCAACCAGAGCTTCTTGGGGTCGACAAACGGGCCAAAGTTGTTGACCGCGTAGGCGAGAGCTTGTATTTCACCTGGGCGGGTGAGAAGAGAATGACGGAAAACAAGGGAGGAGGTGAGGTTTTGAAGGGAGAAGCAGGGCTTCTTTGCGTCGACAAACGGGCCAGAACCATTGACTGCAGAGGCCAGCTTGTATTTCACCAATCGTGCATAGACCTTCACCATCACACATACCTTGAGCTTCAATGGGTGCGCCATGACGCCCCTCTGGTCCGCCCCCCTCCACGTGTACCGCGCGCCCAGCCCTTCCACGATGATCAGCAGGTCGGACCGTGGGGACTGAGACGCACCTCTTACAACCACTCTCATCCGACCTCTGTACTCACATATCCCTTCCTCTCTCACCTTGAGCTTGAGCGGGTGTGCCATGACCCCCCTCTGGTCCGCCCCCCGCCATGTGTACTGCGTGCCCAGCCCTTGCACAATGATCAGCAGGTCGGGGTTGACCGACTGAATGGCGTCCGCAGCCCTGATATGGGGAGAGGGGAGGCGTAAGAGGCAGCGAGAGAGAGGGGAGGAATGAGAGAGAGAAGCATGCAGCCTTTGTGCGATGATCAGCAGGTCGGGGTTGACAGACTGAATGGCGTCCGCGGCCCTGCAAGGACACAGAGCGGAGAGGAGAGAAATACGGGGCAGTGGTGGTCAGGTAGGGAAGGATGGGGAAGAGCCCAAGAGCCCTTGCACGATGATTACCAGATGGGGGTTCACCAACTGAATGGCGTCCGCAGCCCTGCAAGGAGCCAGAGCGGAGAGAGCAGAACGGGGGCAGGATAAGGTAAGAGAGGAGAGGCGTATAGAGGACAAGGCAGCAACACCAGCCAGTTTCACCCCTTACATTCACCTTTTCCTCCCCTCCCTCACCTCTTAGCAGCAGTGCGCCAGTTGTACGGCTCAGCCACGTTGTCCCCTGCCCACCATTCCCCCTACAGCAACCTACACCACCCTGCACCACCCTTCATCTAACCTGCCCTCTCTCTCCCCCCTCCGCACCTCTTAGCAGCGGTGCGGTGCGCCAGTTGTACGGCTCGCGCACGTTGTCCCCCATCCACGACTCATCCCAGCATTGCCAGCACCATCAGCACCCTTTTGTACTACTGTTTTGCACCCCACACAAACGCACCTTTTGGCAGCAGTGCGCCAGTTGTACGGCTCGCCCACGTTGTCCCCCGCCCATATGATGTCGGGATGCGACGGGTGGTTGTGAATCTCGTTGTATAGATCGACCTGGTAGGAGGGAGAGAAAGGGGGGGGAGAATGAAGGATAATATATGTGGATTAGGCAGTAAGGCGACGAGAGAGGGGTGCAACGGGTGGTTGTGAATCGGTGGCGGTGTGGAGATAGGGGGAGGAGAATAAGAGAGGGGCGAGCGAAGGAGTGGAGGGAGCAGGAGGGAGAGACAGCAAGAGAGAGGGACCCACACCACACCAGCGCACGCACACCAACGCACGCACACCAACGCACGCACACCAACGCACGCACACCAACGCACGCACACCCCAACCAACACTCACCCCAACAACCGCCCTCTCCCCGATGTATCGCTGCGCCAGCTTGAGCCAGTTGCCGATCCACACGGCCTCCGAGTGCCCCGCGTCCCACCACACGCCCAGGTCGT